TCAGTTATTGATTTTGTTTGTGTTATCATCTGCAGTTTTAAAGTTTCGGGTAAACTACAATTTAAAATTTCTAGGTAAAATGCTGTAAATACATTATGTTGACATTTGTTTTAAAAATATGTAATCCAAAATAATTGTTTATAAAGTCTTTATTTAGGATAACTTCTCATTTGTTTTGTAGACTAATGCTAAGTAAAGATTTCTATGCAAAAAAAATGTTGAGTCCATTAGGATTGTAGAGTTCCTGGAAGAGACCCAGTCACCACTAGACATGAGGAACATCATCTGTCTCCAAGCAGTCAGTTCTGCTACCTGATTCAGAAGAATTAAGAGTAAAGTCCTCATCAAATAACCTGCTTGGTTTAGCAAAGAGTTACCTTGAGCCATGGTGAAAGTAGATCTGGACATGGAGGTAATTTTTGCATATTTTTCAGTGGAAAACTATTAAGGTGCAGTTTGAGTCAGTTAAAGCAACGAGTTCATACATACATACCCATAAATACACACAGTTGGTGGCATAGAATTGGTGGGAATGATATTTAATGAAAAACAGAATTGTCTTTACAAGGTTCATCTCTTTCATTAACGTAATTGACTGGATATCAGTACACAGGCCTTTGCATGAGAGCAGCATGCTTGGTTAATTGTAAGATTACTTAAAATGCTCCAAGTTTCTTTTCTTTAATCTGTAGAACTCTGAAAGGTTTTTGTGAGAATAAGTCATAGTATCTTGTGTATATTCATGTTCAAGAGACCTCATTTCAAATCTCCCTGGTGAAAGCTGGGCTGTACCTTCCATGGGGATAAAGTAAAATGGTGACGGGAAGGTGAGTGAGTGGAATTCATTTCAAACATGGAAGCACTCCAGTTCCCACACACCAAACTCACTTATATACACTCAAAATCCAGAGGGCATTTGTGGTACATTGCAAAAATAGCCACAAATTCTTTGTAGTTCCTTCTGTCAAGAAATGCAGTCTGTTGACCCACTTCTTGATGTGAGGTGGTACAGGGACTTGCATCAACTAATAGAAGGCAGCAGAAGTGATACTGTGAGTTCTGTCTAGGCTCAAGAGGCCCTGTTGTTTTTCTCTTGCACTGGGCTCTCTGTGAACAAGCTTCTGTCAGCCTTTTGGATGATAAGCCCTCAAGGAGAGACCCAGCAGTCCCAGCTGAACCAAATGGGGCCACAGATGAGAGGACCCACTTGAGAAAAGCTTAGTCCAGCCCAGAACCTAACGAGTACCCAAGTGGGCCTAGCACAGTTTGCTGTCTTACAGAATCATGAGAAAATAGTAAGTCATTGTTGGAAGTCATTAATATTGGAGTAGACTGTTACATAGAAAATCTGACTGATGCAACACTCTTCAAAGAAATTCTATTTCCCAGTGATCCCTTAGGCTTCTGTTGCTCATAGGCTCCCACATGCCCAGACTACCACAGGGCAAAGGTGGAATGAATGCAGAAAAAGCTATGGACTGTCTGCCTAGGCATGATGCTATCATGACCCTTATTACTGTTAATATTTATATATTGTAAGCATTATAGTAAAGTGTCTTGCCAATGGGTTTTAGCCCCAGACAAGTTCAATATGAATTCAATGAGACTGAGAAATGACAATGGAATGTTCTTAGGGTGAAAGGGCTTATACCCAACTTTATTCCCATGGTGGCAGGTCAACCACTATAGTCCCGTCCACTCAGAGAGAGCCTACAAAGCCGGTCTCTGCTTCTGGGCCCCTCTGGCTCCGCAGCCATCTCAGTCTCTCTCCTCGGCGCTGCCAACACTCCAGTCTCTGCTCTCCTGCAGCCTTGCAGCTGTGCCACTGTGTCGTCCAGAGCACTGGGTGGAGCTCTTTACTATAGAGTCAATAACAGTGTATTGCCCACGTGTGTGTAGTAAGCTAGCCAACCAGGGCCAGGTGAGAATCCTGGCCACAGGAACCTTCACTTTATCCACATACAGTATATGTCCCTACATATAGTTATCATTTGAGAATACTTGCTATGTGCCGGGCATGTCCAAGATTATACAGCTGACAAAATCAAAAGCAGTACTGAATACTTATTTATTTGATTACAAGGTCCATATTCTTTTTACTTTGCCACTCTGGACTTTGTTATTATTGCGAAGCACCTTTAATTACTGCAAGATGACAGAGGTCCTGGCCTTTATAGTAAAATTTCACCTGTGTGTAGTAACTAGGGTTGTATTGGGGTAAAGTAGTTGAAAGTCAGAACTAAGGAATACACAGGTGTCTAGAGACTGTTATAAATGATAATTAGGACTGAGTTCCATCTAAATGCTTACTTAGAGGCTCCCAATACTGTAAGTTATAATAACACAACCCATTTATACTGACAGTTTTACATATTAAATCAATGACATGCAAATCAGTACTTTTTAAGAAAACTGTTGCACAAAGTAATATTTTAAACTAAATTTAATTCCATCATTAATTTACGAAAAGGGACTTTATTTTCCTAGGTAACAAACTGGTTTTGTCAAAATGGTACACCATTCTTCTAATTCACTAATAATTTTACTTCCAGTTAAAAGTATGACCTTAGGGAAATGCAAATCAAAACCATGATGAGATATCAACTCACTCTAGTCAGAATGGCTGGTATGAAAAAAGACAAGAAATAACGAGTGTTGGTGAGAATGTGGAGAAAAGAGAACCCTCATGCACTGTTGGTGGGAATGTAAAATGGTGCAGCCATGGTGGAAAATAGCATGGAGGTTCCTCAAAAAATTAAAAACAAAACTACCATATGATTAAAAAAAAAAAAGTATGACCTGAAGACAGAAGCACCTTGAACAAGGCTCACTGTGTGATAGCTGGACAAAGCAGGAAGAGGAGGGACACAGTCAGGTCGCAGAGAGTGAGCCACTCCGCTCTCCCCTAGTGGCGTTGCCTTCCACCCACATGATGTGAGACCTGAGACCAGACCTTTAACTTATCATCAAGATAGAATTCTGATCCTGCATGTTTAACATCTGTCGGGGGCCGGGGTTTGCCGTTGAGGTTTTGGAGCGATGTGAAGACCAAAGAAGGCGGCAGGAGTCGTCATGGAAGGTGCTCTAAAGAAGCCACTTTATTCTGCACGAAGCTGCACTTGTACTGCTATACTGCTAATTCACGGTTACATAAGTATTGAAGATGCGCATGCGTGTGGCCTTCATGGCCAGGTGTCCGGCCTTCAGAGCCCTTATCTAGCTTCTTACTCATGGGTACAACACACTGTTTTCAGGTTTCTGAAGGCCAGACATGGTGAAGCAGCAGACAGCTGTCCTCATAGAACAGTAGGGAATGTGGGGGGTGGGGGGTGCCTTCCGTACAACATCCCAACTTTACAAATAGCGTTGAATTTTTTAACTGTTATATTAATAGGTAAAATTCTGGAGTGCCATCAAGAAAAGTTTCATTCATTTGCCAAGATATTAAGTGACTTTTGCAAGATACAAGGAGGGTAAGTCTGGACCCAGGAAAAAAGCATAGAAACATTATTTACTGCATGGCAACAGAACACATCTCAAGAGGAACTTTAAAAGCCCTGTCAGCTCACAATGGCAGAGGGTAGAATGAATGATAAGGCAACCAGTAAGGTCAAATATCTACCCGAATTATTTTAGGACACTGGATTCTGAATCTGCACAGGGGACTCCTCTCTCCTGACAATGACTCATGGTTAGTCCTTATCTCATTTCATCTCTGCTTCTTACCAGCTGTGTGACTCTGGGAAAATTCCATCACCTCTCTGAGCTTCAATGTCCTCCTTGTAAAATAAGAATGATATTAAAGTATGCAAGTAAATTTAAAGAGTCCTAGGAGCTTGTTATTGTGCAGTATATGTATGTTCCTCACAACAATCTAACTGGGTGTTATCAATGCCTCCAGCTAAAGACCACCAGCAGCACACCCACGGATGAACAAGTTGGTATGTTGTGTCCTTGCAGAGAAGGAGAAAACTTGCCATGGGGAATCATAGCCATCTCAGAGGATACTGCAAACAAAGAAGCAGAATCAGTAGGAGATCTCTCTTAAGAGAAGGATGGCAAGAAATTGGTTTACACAATTGTGGGGATAGACTAGGCAAGCCCCAGACACACAGGACAAGCCTGTGTCAGGAAAGGCAGGCTGGAACCTGGCACAGGTTGCCTAGAGCCCACGGAGGAATCCTTCCTCTATCACGGGAGCTTCAGCTCTGCTCTTGAGGCTTTTCAACTGATTAAATTCAGCTCACCCAGGGTACCCTCTCTTACTTAAACTGATTACAGATTTCAATCACATACACAAAATATTTTCAGAGCAACACCTAGATGAATGTTTTATTGAATAACTGAGGACTATAGCCTAGCCAACATAAAAAAATGACCATTAAATATTATAGGGTACAGACTTGTGTTCATGCCTCGTCTGTTTCAGACATGATCACCAATGACCTGGTTTTCTGTCTTGACCCACCATGGTCACAGAGGGGCTGTCGGATACTGCTGATCTATGAAATTATTTATGTTCAGCAAGAAAACACCAAAACCTAGTTATGAGTGCCAGGCCAGCTCCCAGCAACAGCAGGCCTGGTTAACAGTGCCAGGAAGCTGCCAGATGCCAGATGCCAGATGCCAGAGATTTCTCTGGTCTCACCCTTCCTTATAGCATCTGTCGCCATGAGATAAGACAGAGTGCTAAGAAACAGGCCACATAACAGGGACAGAATGATTGCTTCTAAATGGGACCTCACTAACGTGTGCTTTCATGACATGGAGAAATGGATTTTTCTGGAAAAAAAAGTCCTCCTCTAATAACTGCCTTTGTCTTTAGCTCAATCTCTATTCCTTCAAAAATATCTGGAATTTTAATGTGGCAGGATAAAGAATGTGAAAAGATCCAGTAGGTTAAGGGAAGGAAATCAATTTTCTAAGTCACAGAAATTCCCCTCATTCCACCCCTCAACATTTAACTTGACATTCTTAAATTAAAAAAAAAAATCATAGAGTAATTGAGCCAGCCAAAACTTTCTTTAATGTAATCTGTGTCTCCACATTTCCATTAAACGTAGATAGGCAGCATCAAAACACAGAGCCTGAGGAGTACTCGAGGCAGGGGGGATATCGGATGAAGGATTGTGCAGTTACTATAGGCGGCACCACATGACGTGACTCCTTTCACTGCCCTGGGTGCGGGTGTCGGAGCTTCGGAGAGCAGGCGAAGCACCCACTCAAATGGATTTACGTATTAGCAAAGATGATGGTGTTCCCCTGGCTACCATCAGCAGAAATACCCTAGGTGGGGGTGTCAGCTCAAAACTTAGGGAATTCCGTATGTTCTGTGGAAGCAAAAAGAAAGACAGTCAACCCACACATGAGGCAGAGGGTGGCAAGACTCCCAGGGAGAGGGATCAACTCAGGGAAGAATTCCTGGAGATTTAACCCAGAAACTCCTGTGGGACCCCATATTATTGATGACCATAATCTATACATGAGTCTGGTCAGGAATTCCTACCCCTCTCCAGCAGACATACACACAAGTGAGAAGATTCTGATTTAATGCCCTCCCTCTTTTCATAGAAAATTCTCTCAGACCTACCTTGAATGGTGGCTGTATCAGAATCAGGGGATTTCCCCATCCCTTCCGGCACGCTTAGTACAAACTCTTCAACTGACAACTGCGGTGTCATGTCAGTGGAATTTTCTGATTGGCTGGAGCCTGATCCGGCAGGGTCCGGTGTTGGGTGTCTTGAGATTCCTTCGTGGTTCTGTCCTCACCGTTGCTCTACAGCTCAGAACAGCAACTGCTGAGACCACCGTGAGAAGAGCATGACCCTAAACAGAGCTCTGATTCTGGGGGTCCTCACCCTGATCACAGTGACGACCCCCTGTGGAGGTGAAGATATTGAGGGTGAGTGCACAGTGGAGGGATGTGGGGACTAGACTTGGGAAACAGGAATTGGAAAGGAAAAAAGCAGTGATTGGCACAGAAATAGCAGAGACTCTTCAAAAGCATTCTCAATATTAAGCAGCTTTAAAACTTATGGTCATTTTTCCTTCAGGAAATTAGAGTTGCAACCCCCTTTCTTTGTGTGCTATTGCAGAGTTCACCAAAGACATTATTTTGTATCTAATATCAGATCCAGAGAATACAGCCTGGAGGGCTCTATGGCATTCATTCGTGATTGCCTCAAAGATTAGGGATGTTTTGTCATTAAAAATTCATGAAGTATTGCTCCCAAATTTCTCTCACTGACTCTTGAAACTTTTTATGTATTTCTCTTTTGTTAGTTTATCTGGGGGTAGAGAGTTCCATGACTTGTCTGTACTATGTAAGTATAAATAAGGGTGTCCTAACTTTGTCTCAGATCTACCTACATTCCCAGGATGCGAACTGGTGCAGTTGGAGAGTGGGTAAGGGACCCCAACTGAACACCCTTAGACAAGTCATTTTACCACACGGTGCTCACCTAACTCAGCTACCTCATACGTGTCACCTTACAAATAATCAAATAAAAGAGGTGTGTAGATACACTTTCTAAGTAATGTAGACAGAAATATCAATGATCATTTTGTTTTTAAATTGCTACTATTGCAGGTGAAGCTGCAGAATTTTTTCTCTACAAAAATAAGAAATATTTATTTTTATTTTAAAATTAAGAACTTTATGATGAAAAACTTGATGAAGTAAATTATGTTATCCTCAAATCATCAGCCCAAATCACCTGTCTTTCACTTTAATGCAGACCTATAACGGGAAAACTGGACAAGCACAGATCAGTGACTTAATTCCCTAGGCCCTGCCTTTGCTGTCCAGCTCTTTCCACCCTCTTTTACCCTCCTTTCCATCAAGGATCTATCCCTGGCTCTTTTCCCTATTGTTTCATTACATGAAGAGTGGGTGTGTAAAAGCCAAAGTAGAAGTCAAATAGTTCAAAGAGGAAGTGAAATGGAAATTAATCTTTAGATACTTTATTAACCATGGCTGTTCCTATCCTAATTTTGTTTGGTGGTATAAGTTTCACTGCTTCTCCAGAACACTTCCAAATTCCCTTTCTTCAGCATCACACCAGAGGGCTCTGCTCAGACTCAAATTATCCAATAGGCACAGGGCAGAGGGTTTACAGTGCTAACAGGGCACCATGAAAATGTTTTAATTTCTTTCAAAATTAGAAGAAATGAGCTTTTAAGATAGGAAAAAAATGCTTTAGTTTTTTTATATCATTAATATACAATTACATGAACAACATTGTGGTTACTAGATTCCCCCCATTATGAAGTGGATTATATTTGTCTTTGTGCCAATATGGTCATAAAATATGATTTTAATTTTTTATGGAGGAAGGAGACCACAAAAGCAACAGCACTTAGAGCTTACAAGTGATAATGCAGCCCCGGTCACGGCTGATTCTGACATTCATGTGGTCCTTCGACCTCTCTGTCATCTTCCCCAAAATTTCTGTGATACTCCAGAGCAGCAATTGATTTTCAATCAACACTTTAGAGTGCACAGTGAGCTACATTTGGGGTATGTGAAGATGAAAAGCTATGCTTTCTGACCCCTAGAGGGTGACCAGATTAGTGATGGAAAGAATATGGGGAAGGAAAGCAGAAGGGCCTGTGAGGCTGAAAGTAAACAGGTGAATTGCTTCTAGCTGGCACGGTGGTGTCACGTCCTTCAGCGACAGTTGCAGCCCAGGACAAGTACCAAATGAGAAGGATAATTGCATACATTCATGTCTGGAAAAGGGGTCAGGAAGATTCATTGCAAGAACAAGGAGATTTTATTGGAGGGCCTTTTAACTGAATGGACAACTACCAGTACTAAGTGGGGGGAAACAGGTCCTGGGAATTTTGTCTAGAAACTATGCCAAAGATGGAAGCCCATGATATTTGACAGTTGATCTCTTCTGTTGCATTAATACAGCTCTTTCCTCTTCATTTTCTATCTCCCTGCTCCTCACCCTTACTCATCAGCTGACCACGTTGCCTCCTATGGTGTAAACGTCTACCAGTCTCACGGTCCCTCTGGCCAGTACACCCATGAATTTGATGGAGATGAGGAGTTCTATGTGGACCTGGAGAAGAAGGAGACTGTCTGGCATCTGCCTGAGTTCAGCAAATTTTCAAGTTTTGACCCACAGGGTGCACTGAGAAATATAGCTGTGACGAAATACAACTTGGACATCATGATTAAACGCTCCAACTCAACTGCTGCTACCAATAGTATGTGTCCACCTCACCGCCTCTGTTGGTCTGTGCCTTCACACCAGTCCCAGTACCTTCTTCCCTGGGAATAGATACCCTTCACTACTCTGTACACCTCTCTCCTTTCCAAGGAGTCTCCAGATTTCCTCATGGTAGTTCCTGAACCTCATATTCCCCCTTCTTACAAATCACACATTTCCATGTAATACAAAGATCTTTACTTCCATAATTCAATCCTTGAGTCTTTCAAGGAGAGGTCCCACAGGGCGCCCAGTTTAACAACAATGTCCACAGAGAGAAGGGGACAGGGATAAAGCAGAAGAGGTGTATAGTGTCTTCGGGGCAGAGGGAAACAAGAGCTCTTCCATGGTCAGATGGGGAAGCGGTGGCGGGAGGGCTCCCCCGGGAGGCCGTGCAGAGTCTCTGGGCAGAGCCGTCTGTGACTCATAGCAGCACTGTCTCCTCACCACAGAGGTTCCTGAGGTGACTGTGTTCCCCAAGTCTCCTGTGATGCTCGGTCAGCCCAACACCCTCATCTGTCTTGTGGACAACATCTTCCCTCCTGTGGTCAATATCACCTGGTTGAAGAACAGGCACTCTGTCACTGAAGGTGTTTCTGAGACCAGCTTCCTTTCCAAGAATGATCATTCCTTCTTAAAGATCGGTTATCTCACTTTCCTCCCCTCTGTTGATGACATTTATGATTGCAAGGTGGAACACTGGGGCCTGGATGAGCCCTTGCTGAAACACTGGGGTATGTATGAGCTCCACCCCTTTTTTCTCTCAAGCCCAGAACATCCTGCCTATTATCTCCTACCCCTTAGGGCCCTAAACTTAACCCTTTAAGGATCTCTAATGCTAGACTTCACTCTCCTCCCTTAGCCTGGTGCCCAGAGTCGTAGAACCAACACCTCCCTCCGCATCCCACACAGGTGCATGAACCAACAATTTGTATTCTGACTTCTACAACTTCCCTTTCGCAGAACCTGAGATTCCAGCCCCTCTGTCAGAGCTCACAGAGACCGTGGTCTGCGCCTTGGGGTTGGCTGTGGGCCTCGTGGGCATTGTGGTGGGAACTGTCTTCATTATCCAAGGCCTGCGCTCGGGTGGTGCCTCCAGACACCAAGGGCCCTTGTGAGTCACACTTTAAAAGGAAAGGTAAGGATTCGGATTTGCTAGAGCTGGAGACACAGCCAGAAGGAAGGACAGTGGAAGGATGTTATGAACACACATGTGGCTGGGAAACAGTCTGACTGTGGCACAGGAGCCCCCCAGGATGTGTTGATCTCATGTCTGCCTTGTTGCAGGTGCATTGCCTACCCACGGAAGAAGAAGAGCGTGGATCCCCCTGATGTCCTGTCACTGGTTACCAGCCCACTTCATCATATCCCTCCTCTCCTCCTGCACTCTGCCTCCCTTCTTCTCTGGGCTTTATGAAGCTGCGCCCCCTGAAAGCCCGCACACCCTTAGAAATTCCCCACCAACCTCCTAAATTTTTCATCTTTTCTCAGTTGTCATCTATTACGGAATCCCTGGGGTATCCCACCCAGCTACCTAATCTCTCAGTGACCCTGAACTAATATGTCCGTGGAAGCAATAAATCCCCTTTATGAGGTCATTACTAAATTTTTTCCTGTCTTTTATGTGAGGGCTGTCTAGGACATTGGCCCTTGATGCTTAAGGCCCATTTAACCTCATTTTCCAGATCATGTTTCATACCCAGTAACACAGAAGCAAACAAGTATAGTCTGATAGTATTTTGATATCTAAGCTGAAGTTCATATTTCTCTCAGGCATCAGCAAAGGCAATAAGTACCCTAATTACACTTATTACACTAATCTGCCTTTGGTGTAGACTGTTACAGAAGAAATACAAAAACCAAGAAACGAATGTATACTCATTTCAATAAAGCTTTTAAGTTCAAAACAGAGAGGTTTGTAGAAAGGAAGTAAGAATCTTAAGAGTACCAGAAGTCAAAATTTGGCCCCCCAACTTTAAGTTTGTGAGGAATGAATGATAACAGGAAAAACTTTCTTCTCCCTTCCTCACCCTTGAGAAGATAAGAATTCTCAAGGCAGGAAAAGAAGTGGAAATCAATTAGGAGAGCATTAGAATAAGACACTAATGTGGGTATCTGATAAGGACCAAATACTTGGTCCTTAGTTAGGGTTAGTAACAGTGGGAAAGGGATGGGAGTAGAAACCACAGACATAGTCAGGGTCCCTGGAACACAGGTGGAGTCTGCCTCACCTCCTAGATGAAGCCCTGCTAGATATCCACATAGATTTTCCTGTGCTACCATGGTATGTTGGGGACAGTAGAGTGAACATGGCTGCAGGATGTTTCTAGGCAGATAAGCCCAAGTCAGGCTCACTGAATTATAGCGCATCCCTGTGTGCCCTGGAGGACAGCAAAAAGTCCTAGTATCCCCATCCCACTACCCCTCATTCCTCTTGGTTAAGGAAAGAATGAGCCTGTGAAAGAGAAATTCCAGGAGGACAACATGATTGAGATAATGTTCTGGCAACTTTGGGTTCTGCATCTTCCTCTGGATCACTGCCTCCTAGCGGAAATGTTTACAAAAGAAACGGATCAATAGATGGGTTTCTCCAGCTCTCCTGTGTCTATGATCATATGCTTGAAAGTGACATGACCTGACTTGAAGGTATTTTTCCCTTTGAAGTTGTTTAGGCATGCTGCCTCACTCTTTTCACTTTGCAACTACTTTGTCCATACACTGCATCTAAGATGGTATTGTGGAATGGCTACAGCATATGTGAGGCTCTCCCTGTCCATGTCATCTGCACCAGAGAGCTTAAAATGTAATTGGAAAAGAAAAGAGACAATATCAACACAATAACTGATACAGCATAGTTTGGGGCAAAGGAACCTAAATCCAAATCCAGGAATCATCAATTTATAACTAGTATTTTAAACTTTATAACACTAAGGTATCTAACATTTCTGAGCTGTATTTTTCTCATCCATAATGTGGGAAGGAGGGATAATACTTTCCTTGCAGAGTTATTGACAGAACTTGAATGGTATCAATATATAGGCAGTGCCTTACACATGGCATACAGATATTTAAGAAAATATTGCTAGTTATTATAGATATTATTAATTTATTAAAAAGAATGGATCTTATTATGTGAAAACACTTTTATTTTTCTGAGTTCTTTAATGATTTAGGATATTCAAACATGGAGCTATTGATGAATTTATTTCCAAATGTTAATTGTAGGATTCTTTTCCTCTCCAGAATGAGAGATGCTGGGATTGGGTTAGGCTGCAAGTGTAGATAGGGTGCAATGGTCAGTGACACATAACCGGTGAAGGGGCTGCTAAGGAAACTCTTATTGCAATAAAGTTGTAATATTTGACCCTGGGTTTTTACTCTAATAAAAGACATATCCCCTCCTTATGGTCCATATTAGTCAAGATATATTATATGCAACAGGTCTTTATATATGTTTACTTTGGGGAGGAGATGGGAAAGATTCAAGGAGAAAAGGCTACTTGTGAGGTAGAAGTAAGAGAATAATTAAAAGTACAGACTAGCAATGTAAATGCAAGAAATCTGAACCGGAGGGGATCATGAAAATGTAGGTAACAGAGTACAGAGGATTTTTAAGTCAGTGAAACTACTCTATATGATCCTACAGTGGCAGATACTTGTCACTGTACATTTCTCAAAATCCATAGAATGTACAACACCAAGAGTGAATTAATGTAAACTGTGGACTTTGAGTGATAATGATGTGTCAGTGTAGGTTCAGCAGCTGCAACAAATATACCTTTCTGGTAGAGGAGGCTGATAATCGGGAAGGCTATGCATGGTGGGGACAGGATATATGAGGAATCTCCATACATTCTATTCAATTTTGCTGCAACTCTAAAACTGCTCTAAAACAAGATGTATTTTAAAAAAAGAAAAGAAAAATCAGCAATTATGATCTGAAATCATAACCGGTGAAGGGGCTGCTAAGGAAACTCTTATTGCAATAAAGTTGTAATATTTGACCCTGGGTTTTTACTCTAATAAAAGACATATCCCCTCCTTATGGTCCATATTAGTCAAGATATATTATATGCAACAGGTCTTTATATATGTTTACTTTGGGGAGGAGATGGGAAAGATTCAAGGAGAAAAGGCTACTTGTGAGGTAGAAGTAAGAGAATAATTAAAAGTACAGACTAGCAATGTAAATGCAAGAAATCTGAACCGGAGGGGATCATGAAAATGTAGGTAACAGAGTACAGAGGATTTTTAAGTCAGTGAAACTACTCTATATGATCCTACAGTGGCAGATACTTGTCACTGTACATTTCTCAAAATCCATAGAATGTACAACACCAAGAGTGAATTAATGTAAACTGTGGACTTTGAGTGATAATGATGTGTCAGTGTAGGTTCAGCAGCTGCAACAAATATACCTTTCTGGTAGAGGAGGCTGATAATCGGGAAGGCTATGCATGGTGGGGACAGGATATATGAGGAATCTCCATACATTCTATTCAATTTTGCTGCAACTCTAAAACTGCTCTAAAACAAGATGTATTTTAAAAAAAGAAAAGAAAAATCAGCAATTATGATCTGAAATGTATAAAATAAAAATTTTAATATAAAAACACAGGTCATCTGAAAATGCACAAATGGGCTGAGAAATTTTTGGCAGTAGGATTTTAAATAAATTGTATGTAAATTTCAATGATTCATGAGGTAAGAACCAGCATTTTAAAGGTGTAGGGGTGTAGGAAATATAAGGGTTATATTGAATAGCATTATCACCAGTGTTTCAAAAATATACAAATACTGCCCTAATCAGACTCCTTCCTCATGAAATACTGAGGAAAGCAAACTTAATGGTAGTTGAACCTCATTAAAGTAATTCATTCATAAAATGTTCACTTAATCTTAAAATATCAGAATTAAAATTAATTCTAAAAAATAAGAGGAAACTTTTTTTATCAGCTTAAAGTTAAAAGTGGGATCATTACCTGACATAACTATAAAAAAATCTGGAAATCAGTCCTCTGATTCTAAATTATGTGATCTTGAAAAATGACTTATTTGAAAATTTTCAGATTGTGTGCACGAAGTATAACTTTAATATTTAATATCATACTACTTAAAATTTATGTAATTGAAAAGTCACATAAAATATATCAGATTTGTTTGTACAAACTAGGGATTTTGAAAGACTAAAATATTTCATTACAAATCATGCACTTCTTATACATCCTGGCACACAGTAAGCAGTCAATAAATGTTAACTGTTAGTGTTGTTATTTTCTGGAGCCCAAGTCAAAAATCCCATAGTACATAACATCACAGAAATGCAAACAACAAGATCCAGATAATAGAAAGTTCTAGACAAACAATTCTGTTTCTCCAGCAAATAACTTGCAAGGAAAAGTAGGCAACCTAGAAACTACAAATTAAAAAAAACCTGAAGTGTAACTCCAGGGGGGAAAATAAGTTTCCAGCCCAGGTCAAATTACCTTTGAAGTGGAAATCATTCAAAGGGAGAAATAAAGTGGGAGAAACTCATTTATTGCTTACAAGCCCACTTCCGCTTGCCTGAGTCTCTTGTGACCCAACCGCCAAAAGGGACCCCACCCAATCTCTCAGATCCAGATATACCTTCACTCCCCCTTGAATCACCTATTGACATGGAAATGCACTAAGGCCAGACAACAAATTCTGGAAATATTGCAATTTTCACATGAAGAAATATATCAACCAAATGCTAGGCTTTGTTGGATTCATATTCAAATAAAACTATTAAAAATTCCTTGTGGGACAATCAGACATTGAATATTGACTGTAGTGAGGAATTGTTTATCTAATTTTAGGTGTAGTAATGACAGTTATGTTTCTCTAAAAAAGTCGTAGATTCTCATAATAAATATGCATGAAATGATATGATGTGTGAGATTATATTCAAAATAATCCATTGTGTGTGTAAGATAAAGTGGATGGGTACACAAAATTGTCCATGAATTAGTATTTGTTAAAGTTGAACTGTTGATACATGGTTCTATTCTCCCAGCTACCATTTAGAATTTAAATTTTCCATTAAACAAAAGTTTAAAAAAGAAATTGAGGATTCTAGTTCAAGATGACAACGAAGATCCTGAACTCACCTCCCCCCACGGGCACAGCAAATGTGTAGCTATATATGGAACAATTTCCTCTGAACAAAATCCTAAAATCACTTCCACATCAGGCAGCCAAGGGGAAAACCTGCAGGAAAGGCTGAGACACAATCTCACCATAAACCCAACCTCCCAGGAAGAGACCCACAATCTGGAGTTTCTCCAAGAGAAGCAAAGGGCTTATACCCCACATCAGGCACTCCACTTTTAAGACCAGCACCTGAGAGACAAACCCCCAAAACATCTGGTTTGAAGACAACAGTGCTCTTGCCCAACAAACCTGCAGGGCTGTGGTGAAGCGAGGAACAGCTGTTAAAGGGTCTGTGCACAGAGTCACCTGCCCCAGGACCCAGCAGAGAAGAAGCCCTTTAAAAAGTATCTGGACTTTATGTGAAAGGGACTCATTTGCTAATTTTTAAGTGTTGGTTCTAGAGGCAGGGGTCTGCTGGATTCTCTCTGAGGATAAACATTGGTGGGTCCCAACCTCCTACTTCCTTTTTGCCTTGAGAAACCCGACAAGCGCCATCTTTTTTCTCTTTATTTTATATTTTTCTTCTTTTTCTGTTAGTTGCCATTTTTGCACTCCCATCCATACTGTAGCTGTGGATGCCATCTTCATGTCTCCTCTGCCATGCTCCAGAACACCAGAAGTCCTGGAAGGGAGCATTTACAAATGTCTGCTGTCCCCCAAGGGGTGGCCCTTGCTCTCCTGGCTCTAGGGAGCTTGTGTTCCTGGGTCCCACAGGACTGTGACAACCATAGAGACAGTTCTCGGCAGGCTGCCACTCCCAGGGCACTGCAGAGAGAGGAAACTGAAACACAACCTCCATCTTTCTATGAAAGAGGCCCATTTGTTGTCCTAAGGAGCTTTGGCCTAAAGCACAGGTTTCTGGTCTAGCACACTTACAGGCACCTATGGAGCTGCTCCCAGGGAATGGGTATATGCCCCCTCATGCTCACTGCAGCATTATTTACAATAGCCAGGGTTAGGAAACAACCTAAGTGTCCATTGACAGATGAATGGCTGAAGGATGTGTGAAGTACTATTAGACAGGAAAGGATAAAAAATTTAACTATCACCCGGTTTTATTGAAAGTTGTTTAAGAATATTAGTAAGTGCAGTTGTTAATCAGGAAAAAGAAACACAAGGAATCCAAAAAACAGTGGATTCATCCCAGGATATCGCTGAAGAGACCCTGCTACAGCAGTTCCATGGCAAACCTAGAAGCCTGGACTACCTAAGTGGTATTTATGAAGTGATAAACAACTTTTCTTTCAACTTTTAGAAGGAAGCTGTGAGTAAATGTGAGAAACGTGCTCACTGGTCCAAGCTCAATAAATGGACGCGGAGACAAAGAGAACAGCGGAGTGAGGCTTTAATGACAGTCTCGCAAGATCGCAAGATCGGGTGTCTGATGGGCAGGCACACCTTGGGCGGTTGGTGCAAGTAATTTATTCCCTAGCCTGTGCGCCCCTCCCCTGGTTCCTCTTTAGCGGAGTACTACAGGGTTCACATTTTTTCCCAGATGTCACCTAAGCAAGTTATATCCACATTAGGCTTTCCCTTACCTTTGTCTTAATTTTATTGGCAGGTTTAAAACTTCTTTCTTTTCCCAAATAGGTACAGCCCCTTCCTTGTCAATTCCCCCCAGCCCCCACTCCCAGCCTGAGCAACGTCCTGGCATATTTTTCACCAGTAGCCCTTTGTCAATACCTGACTGTTAAAATGTTTAACCCTCCTGGTGGGAATAAATCACATTTAGGTTTTATGCTTTTTCTAACAGTAAAGCTCAAAGATAATTATTCTTACAGCAGAATGTATTTTCAACTTTGACATATAAAAAAAAGTGAAGATACTTCAATTTGGCAAGTGAAAGTATAAAGGAAAGGGCAAAAGAAGGGTAGAAATGCTACTACTTTCATCTTCCGAGGAGGATGAGAGACATTCACCATATTTAAGGAAAGAACACATATTTAAGGAAGGAATAAATACTTTCAAATTACAATCGAAACTGAAAGAATTACCTGTGGCGACTCATGAATGCAAGCAGGGCTTTAGACGTTGGACTATTGAGCAATCACAAATAACTCCACAGCCCAGCCCTGAAAGAGCTCTGCAGCTTCAAGAGCCCTTCAGAGTTAATCCAAATTAGAGTGGGGGACAGGCCCTTTACACCTCCACACCTACCAGTCACTGGATATGAGATGCCCCTGGGAAGTGCAGTGGGCGAGGCAGTGCCCCTCACCTAATGCAATTCGGAAGGAGGGCTGTCAGCTATGGCCTGTCAGCCAGCAACGTTCCCAGCAACTGAGGGAGGGAATCTTTCAGTCCTGAAAAGAGCAATCTAAGTGAAACAGGACAGCACCCTGTATAGAAACACCATTCTAACCACTGGGAATTGCATATATTTTCAGGGGAAGTGGACAAATAAATAAATTTTTTAAATTTGTTGTATCTTAACTTCTATTAACTCATTTGACTCACTCTTTTATCTTATGAACTCCTTTCATTAAATATTCCATGATAATCAGGAAGAAGGCAAAGTTATGTTGCAGGAAGATCTTAAGAGGCAGTAAAAATTAAATTTCAGTGGCATACTCAATAAAGGGAACTCAATTCCATAGCCATTCACAGGATGAAGGTTATGGGGTTTCCACACTCTTAGACACCACCACCTCAACAACAGCTTCCAGGCTTGCAGGAGCAGGGAAGACAAAGCCAACAGAGATTAAACCCATTTTTAAATTCGACTGGCTGGTAGTAGTCACATGACCCCAACCTAACCACAGAGGAGGCTGGGATATGTATGAAACTGATGGACTGTTGATGACCACCACTGCCTCTGAAAGACATGCTGACTGATATGACTGAAGGTGAAGTCAAGTGCTCAAGCTGGTAGTTTGTTCTCTAGCACACCCCTATACTTTTCTCCAAGACATATGCCTACTAAGATTCAGTTCTTTTTTGTTAGCAAACTTGTTTATAAAGGTTATACTTTTAATTTTAATTAAATTATCAATTAAAGATTCCATTACCCAATGAAATTGGGTGCACAAAATAGTTGTTTCTATGAAACTGTCAGTGGATGGACGGGAAGAAGACTCTGACCCTCTCGTTAAGGAGAAGTCTTCCAGCAGGGAGCCAGTGTGACAATGTTGAACTGAAAAAATGTCCTAGAATATATTCTACCACCCACTGCCATAACAGAGCTTATGTTTCAACTGGAAAAATCAGATCACAGTGTCTCCCTAAACGCTGAGTCTGGTTCTATCTCCAACCCTGCCTTATGTCTTTGCAAGGTCAAAGCACAGGGCTACATCTAGAGACTGAGGGCTCCCTGGACACCCTGCACAAGTCCTCCATTTCTCTAAGAGTATCACTCCTTCCTGACCCCTATGGTGAATGACAATGATGCCCATCCTGGAGAAGATGATGAAATCAGAACAAAACCTCTGCCTCCACTCAGCATCTTGCTCTGGCCAGATTCAGCCTTGGGTAGCAGAACCCTGACTGTCCCTATTTGTCCCCATCCATATTGCACATGTCTAATCACCTGCACTACAGCCCAGGGCATGGGAGAGAAAGGCCCCAAGGGAGTCTAGTTCTCCACCCTGACCTCATCCAGGAGGGGGAAGGAGTGCTAATGGTTTCTCAGGCCTAGTGAGATGAAGTTGCAGGGAGAAGGGGATGCCTTCCCAGGAGCATGGCCTTCCAGAGATAAGCTCCCAGCCCTCTGTCCTCATGACAAATTCCACAAACCATAGTGGAGACCAGCATTCAGACTGGGCCCATGTATAAGGAACCACACTGTGTAGTGGCCCCCCTAATACCAGGGAAGAGAATGTCATCAAGAATCAACAGGTCACTGTGTTCACAGACAAGGAGACCTCTATCAGATGAGAACTCAGGCTTAGCAGTGCGTCAGGTGACTGTGCGGGAAACAAGATGGGATGGGTGTGTGTCAGCACCGTTAAGGAGGGAGCCAGGAACCAGAGCCCTGCTGCTTGTCTTGTAGCATCCACAAGAAACAAAGTGCTCCTCAGACCATTCCACTGTGAGGAGACTTTAGAGATGGGTGCTCCGTGTCAACGTCTCCATGCAGGGTAGCCATTTTCAGCAACACAAGGATCTGAAAATTCCATGCCTTACTCCTAATAAGCAGGTGGGCATAACGCCAGTGGACTGCATCCTTGTACAGGTTGACATTTTTGAGAAGTGTGCATATAACCCAGGATGGGGCAATCAGCATCTCTCCTAAAATGGTTACAACTCTGGTAGACAGTCTGAAAAAACACAACATACACACAGAGAGAGAGAGACAGAGAGACAGAGACAGAGACAGAGACAGAGAAACAGAGATGAGATAAGAAGTAAGGCAATGAGAAAAAAAATGCAGAAAATAAATAGATGCAAAGAAAACACAGACAGATAAAGAGATGCAGATAAATAGTGACAAAGATGCAGATAGAGAAAAGACAGAGAGTCAGGAATGCACAACAAGGGATACAGAAAAAAAGATGCAGAGAGATACCAGGAAAGAAATATATAGGGACAAAGAAAGACACAGAGAAAGATTAAGATGCACAGGCAGAAATGTAGCAGAAAGAGAAAAGAGAAATGAAGATTGCATTGAATATCTGGATGTAGTCACTTCTGAGGTCAACTTGACCCCAGGATTGCATGCAACATAAGCAAAGTAAACCTGAATTGTATTTCTATCACTCTAAACCAAAAACAATACTTTAATTACTGGTTATACTTTCTTAAAAATAAAAATTGACCTCAACCAATGTGACTTGTCAGAACACAGTTGAAACATCAATAACCAGGGGCCACAATATCTGTCCCCAAAGAGTTTCAGCATGCTATGTACTCAATATTCAACAAAACAAACGGCAGTCCAGCAAATCCTAAAGTCACTGCACCTGACATCAATACTGCAGAGCCATGAGAGATGTGACAGCTGAACTGATTTTCTCTCTTCCACCCAACCCTATGTGAAACCCCAAGAGGTTTCTAGTCTCCTTTCGGGAAACAAGTCCTCCTTATGGCTCCACATTGGACAGATCATCCCAAAATATATTCATAGAGGTTTCCCACCTCTGCTCAGTTAACAAGGCTCGGGGTACAGATAACTCACAATCGTATTTAATTATGATAAAAGCTCTACAGTCAGGAAAATAGCTTCCATTCTCTCCAGTCAGTGGGGAAAACAGAAACAGAAAATCCCCTTAGGGCCTGGGCAGACGCTGCATACAGCGCTCAGGTGGAGGATCCAGGGTCAGTGCAGGGTGCAGCGTCAGCCATGTCCTCGGGGCGGGGGTCACAGGAGGGAACAGATGACTGGTGACTGCAGCAGAGTCACTGGAGGACTCTGATCTCAAAGGGGGACAAACTGGCACTGGCAGGTGGGGATTCCGGGCAAGGGCAGCAGGCTTCACAGAAGGGAGGAAGGCAACCCAGTCGGGGTCCTCAGGGGTCAGTGCAGGAGCCCTGCAGGGGAGATGGATCAGCACAGGCTCCCTGAGGGACCCACACTCTCACCCTCCTCTCAGGGCCCCAGACAGCTGAGGTCCAGTCCGGTCGTCATCCCCTCACCCACATCTGTGTGAAGGTGAAATCAGCTAAGGAGGACTTGGCCCTCCAGCTCCACACAGATGGGGCTTGGGGTGGGGGGTGCAGCTGTTAACCTTTGAGGGGCAGTGAGGGTTTCACTCTTCTTAGTAAATATAATGATAACTCACCTTGTTCCACCACCAGTGGCCTAACTCAGTCCCTGACAAATGCATACAGGCGTAGCCGCCAACGTGTGACACACAGTGAGCATCCTGGTGTCTGACATCCAAGACAGGGCTCTGCCTCCAAGTTTCAGAGAAAGATGCCACAAAACTTGTGGCCTGGTGCTGGGGAACCACCCCTGGGGCTTCCTACAGAAACCGGGCAAACGTTTCCCCTAACTCTGGATCGCCGGAGCAGGGAACAGGCGAACACAGACCGCTGCACCCAGGAACACTCACCTCACACCCTCCCTGCTTTACCTGCCCCCTCTCCCCCCTGGATCAGGGCTGAAATGTTACCTGCTGGTGGAGGCCCACGAGGTGCTACAAAAGGAAGTGACACAGAGAAAGGTCTCATTACACACACAACCAGTCCCTCACTCACCCCAAAGGGAAAGAGATAGGCAACCTAATTAGACATTTATTTCCTTCCTACCCACCTACCACAAGACTTTAACCACCCTAAGCTATAATACCCCCAAATGAAGGAAACGGTTATTTGAAAGAAAGGAAGAAAATCCACTGACCCTTTTAATAGAGGAAGCTTCCAGAAAGGACCCAGTGAGACAAGGATCAACTGTAAGGACGCCCTAAAGTAAACCCCACCTCTTACTCTGTGGTAGGGTTGCCTTTCAACCAGGAGAATCAGATTCCAAAACCCCCAGGGTGTTCTGACTCCTCCCTCCAAGACACCTGCCCCTTTCCTTTCAAGGTCAGGGGGAAAGAGCCACATCCAGAAGCTGAGTCCTCCCTGAACAGAGGGCCTCAGGCAGAGCCCCCCTTCCCCATTGCCCCAAGGCCTTACCCTTCTGGCTCCTGTGACGGATGACAAGGCCCAGCCCCAGGAAGATCAGCCCCAGCACAAAGCCCCCGATGCCACTCAGCATCTTGCTCTGGGCAGATTCAGACTGTGCCCCTGGGGACAGAACCAGAGAGAGAGTCAGTGTTCGCCCCATACTCCACAGGGTCCCTTTGGGGAGCCTCAAGTCGAGTCTGAGGCCCAGGTGCTGGAGGTGCCAGGGAACCTAGTTCTCCATGCCGACCACCCCTAGGGTGGGAAGGACCTGCCAGTACATCCCAGGACACGGTGGGTGGGCGGGAGGTGTGGGGAAAGCTGATCCATAACCAAAGCTGATCCATCCATAACCCTAGGGCCCAACACCCCACCACCACCCACGCGGTCACTCCTTCAGGTACCAGGTCTGGGTGCAGGGGCCATGCTGCACAGGCGACCTCCCTAACATCAGAGACAGTGAGTTCAAGACTCTGGTGTGGTCCCAGCTATGGAACTAGAAGTGCCCCAGCCTCCTGTGGTTTCCAGCTTGGGGTGATATCAGGGTTAAAGACAACTCTGCCCTCTGTCTGGGGGGCCCCCAGTGACAGGAAACAAACTGCCCCTTACGCCACTCCACTGAGATGGGGCTCCGGAGGCTGGGGTGCTCCACGAGACATGTGTACACATCTCCTCGCTGGGGAGTCATTTCCAGCATGACAAGGATCTGGAAGGTCCAGTCCCCGTTCCTAATAAGGGGGGTGGACACAACACCAGCCGTCTCCTCCTGGTCATTCCGGAACCACCGAACTTTGATCTGGCCTGGATAGAAATCTGTCACCGAGCAGACCAGCAGGTTGTGGTGGTTGAGAGCCTCTGTCCTGGATGGGGAGATGGTCACTATAGGTTCCACTGAGGGGAGGAACAGACAGGAAAAGACACGGTGAGATGTGAGGGTCACACAGCAAGTCTCCCAAAGGAGCACAGTCCTCCCTGAGTACCGGTGCAGAGACATCCCTGGGTTCCAATCCTGGAGAAGGACCTGAGCGGGGCCACTTTATTAGCTTGAATAAACACATCAGCAGTTTCCTTTTCAGAGTCTGTTACTTTTACTATTATTTGAAGAATAGTAATTTTTCTATGGGAGTTAGTTTATTGATACTAATTGATTAAAATGAAGCACTTTAAAAGTGCATATTGCTATACTACATAGGCCACTCTACATAATATTTTTAAAGTTAAAATAATAAACCAGGACTTCTTTTACCACACCTGATGACATGAAATGGTGATGCTAATCCCTCAACGCAAGGTACGTAGTTGTGAAATTAAAGAGCATAATAGAGATGCTGTTTGCTCAGGTCACTGTCTACAAACAGGTGCTCATTAAATGGTTACAATTAACTTACAGAATGCGCACCCCAAAGTGGATGAGGGGATGCAGGGGGAGGGAGTTTAGGAGGGGTTTAGAACAAAGGAAACCAGAAACATTTTTATTCAATAATTTAATAGCATCAATTTGTTTACTCCAAAACCTCAGGTCTTTCTCTTGTATCATTTGAGGAGTTTTTCTAGGAAATTAAAATTCTGCCTTACAACAAAATTCAAGAGTTGCTTTTATTTTTCACAAGCACTTTTTGCCTCAGACTTCGTATTCACACCTTCTCAATTATTAAGCTCCAAGTACAAAGTTCAATGAAGTCAGTTTGTGTGGCTTATTCACCCTTCTGCGCTCCCTTAGCCTAAGTGATGGGCAGCCGAGTACATTTATTCACTAGCTGCACTAAGGTCTGCGGTCACACCGCGCCCCCGTCCCTGTGTCCGGCAGCAGGCACACGATACCTGGGACAGCTCCTCGCCTCAAAGAACCCCCAGGACTCGTGACAGACACTCAACAAACCAGAATTAAGATGAATACTCATTTGAAACCCAGAGTCAAGGTAGAAGGTAGCTTTCAGTCAAGACCGTGAACCTTACGGCGCGTCCAGGCGCAGCCCCGACCTCCAGGCCCCTCCCATGCTTCGTGCAGCGCCGCCTGGAGCCGCCCGGCCGGGAGGGCCAGGCAGGGAGGGCGGGCGCCGGGAGGCCGGGAGGGCACAGCAGCGCGGAAGGGCGCAAGGAGGCCTGGACCCGGGCGTGTTCCGACAGCTCCAGGGAGGAGGAAGTCCCACGGCCAGGGCGCCGGGACCTCGCTCAATGTTGGCAGGACCGGAGAGGTCGCCCTGGGCTCCCTCGCGCGCGTTCCGGGCTCCGCCGCGCGTCCCCAACGCCACCCGCCCCTCCCCGCGCGCCGCGTCCGCCGGCCTGTCCCTCCCGCGGGACTGGGGTCCGGGGGCCGCCCGGTCCTCTCCCCGCGGAGCGTCGGCGGATGGCGGGGTCCCCGGGCGGCGGCCGCGCTCACCTCGCCGCTGCCAGGTGAAGCCGGCCTCCACCTGGTAGTTGTGTCTGCACACCGTGTCCACTACGGCCCGCTTCTGCTCCATGACGTCCTCCTGCCCGTTCCAGTACTCGGCGTCCGGCCGCCCCAGCTCGGTCACCGCCCGGAACTGCCCCACGTCGCTGTCGAAGCGCACGAACTCCTCCTGGTTGTAGATGACTCTGGCCAAAAACCGCACCCGCTCCGTCCCGTTGGTGAAGTAGCACTGGCTCTTCCACTGGTACACGAAATCCTCTGCGGGGAACCGTGCCGCTTGGTCAGGCCTGGGAGCCGCGGGCCGGGCAGGCCTCCTGGGCCGGGGCATGTGAGCCCAGAAGCTTGACCCCCGACCTCGCCACCCCAGGTTTTCCGGCAATCCTGCCCTTCTCCCCACCCCATCCCCGCGCCCCCTGCACCCCGCATCCTCAGGCGGCTCTTCCAGGGCCTGCCCGCCGCCTGGAGGGCTTCCAGAATTGTCTCCGTAAAGGGAGGGGAGAAGGAAGCCTGTCTAGGGACCAGCCCAGGACTGTGACCCCTGCCCGATTTGAGCACCGAGTAAAGCGGGCAGTCTTGGAGGGTTTACATGGGTCCCTGTACTTATCGGGACAGGACGTCCTCACATGATCCCAGTTCCCAGAGACTCCTGGGAACCGCAGAAGCAAACAGGTATCCCCATGAGCTCAAGATTCAAGGGAATGACTAGAAAGGTCTACAGTTAAGCTTGTCCTCACCCTACAAGCATAATTTATTGGTTCCTAGCAAAGTGCCTTCCTTCCCATGCCTGGGTTTACCGGGTTTCTGTCACCACCACCCCTGCTGCGTGGTTAGAAGAGACCCAACCTTCCACGTCCTGGAAAGGAACATTTTATTAGTGGAAATAACTCAGTCCCTTGAATTAGATAAATTACATTCCAGTTAAACTGTGCCAATAACCGGGGTGGGTAGGTTACCAAACAGAGTAGCTATGTCATAAGGGTAACTGTGTAAAAAGACACTTGTAACACCCATATATAGGGGTATTAGGAAGACTGAGAGAATTTATACAAAGATTCCAACCCTGCGTCTGAAATAGTTTCTCACTGCTGCCCTGCATTTCCCCAACCCAGAATCCCGTAGTATTTAGTCCAGACGAGGTTGGGGACCCCAAAATGACAAATCCTGCTGCGTCTGCTGTGGGGGAATTCACACCTTCAAAAACAACCCCCTGCTCACTTTGTGCTGGCACTGGTAGTAGGTGCACACTTTGTCCCCTCCCCCACCTAACACCCGCAGGCCTAAGCCTGTGGCGTGGGGATTGTCCTCTCCTCGTGCCATTAGAAGGTGGAAATGAGAACAAGGCATAGCTCTCTTTCTCAGAGAGGAAATGTGTGGTAATGTGTGTACTTTAACAAGCTGTGTCGTCTGAGATGATAGAAGCCCCCCTGCCCCAGCCCACAAGTCCCCCCGGCCCCAGCCCACAGGTCCCCCGGGCCCCGGGTCCAGAGTGGGTGGACTCTGGGGAGTAGCTGCCCTGCACTTACGTGGAGAGTCTCTACCCTCTGCCACCGGGATGCTCAGCACCACCAGAGGCACCATCAGAGCTGCTGTCCAAAGGTCTCTGGGAATCCGCAGAGCCATCTTCCCAGACTTAACCGGGAACAAAAGAAAAGTAATAGTTGTTAACGCAGTGCGTACCTGATGGATCTGATGTGTCCACCTCACAGAATAAAAGCCTGTGAAAGCTCTTGAGCAGGGGAGGGCGGGGGAGTCCTAGGAAAGCAACCAATCGGCACCGGAGCTGAAGGACGTCATCTGTCTCTGGGCAGACATCTCTCATGAGGGCTCCTTCCCAGCCTGGCGTCGGGTCTCCATCGGATTGCCCTGGATGAGCACTGAAGATGAAGATTCTCTCAGTTGAAAAAGGTTTGAATTGAGTGACTTAAGGGGTTTAAAGAACCAAAGAAAAATGACTCAAGAGTAGACATCTTTGTGATATTTATTTAAAACTTGTTTTCTTGTACTTGGGATTTTTAGTAGGAGAGAATAAGTAGGGTCAAATTTTAGGGGAGAGAAAATTATCACAGAGAAGTTCACTTCTGTGATCTCAGACATGATGAGGAGACTTAAGCTGTGATGGGAATAGCAGAGTCCTTACAAGGAAATAAATGGGTTTGAGCTGCAGTTCTAGTATTGATGTGTTTTTTGAGAGAACAAATTACAAACTTATTTTTGCATTAGGCTTCTCTTTGCAAAATGTGGATCATTTTTCATACATTCTTCATCCAAATCTCCTTATACACAAATCATGAGTGATATGACTTGTGTAATACAACATATTCTTCAGCTGCCATGTGAACCTGTTGACAATATCAGGTTAATACTTGGAGCAATAAAACAAGTAAAAAAAATTGACACCAGCCCTATTGTAAAAGGTTCTTCATTATGCAAGAAGCTATGGCATTCATGTTTTTTAAATAAAAGTAACTGAAAAGTTAACTAAATTGACGGTCCTCCCTGAACCCTGGAACAGGTTCATCTGATAACAGCGAGGGCACAGTGCTCAGTCACAGCATACAGTCGTCTTTAGTTTCAAGGACTGAGAACAAAAGATGTGGAGAAACATTTCTTGGGGCCTTAATAGTGTTAATGAGGGAAGAGATGTTTAAGTTACAGACTGTACAGTGTCAGCCCTAAGCATCAAATCCTTAATGGCAGAAGTACCAGTGTGGTTTTTTTAAATAAATGTATTATTTCTCAGGCTCCTCTTGCCCATGAGTAGGGGCGGTACTAAGTGGTTATAGGACAATTAGAACAGTGCCTGGCAAACATTAATACATACAGTAAGTATCTCCCCTCTGTTCTTCTCTCCTTCATCTCTCTCTTCCTTATATTTTAGGTTTTTCCTTTTAAAATAGAGAGCAGGGTCTAAAAGCAGAATATAAGGAGTTATTCAGGTAGAAAGATAGAGGGAAAAGGCAACAACAACATGTTTCCATTAGTGGCACATGAAAACGTTGTTATTCCAATGTTCTGAACAATTAGTTCTGGACTTAGGATGGTTCAACTTAAAATTTTCCAATATTATGATGGCGTGGGGGTGATATGCATTTAGTACAAATTGCACTTTGAACTTTGAAGATGGCTATTTCCTGGACTATTGATATGCAGTCTGATCCTCTCTGCAGAAGCTGGGCAGCAGCAATGAGCCACAGCCTCTAGTCAGCCATGTGATCAGGAGGGTACACCAGTGTGTACCCACACAGCCATTCTGTTTTCTTGAACTTTGAAGATGGCTATTTCCTGGACTATTGATATGCAGTCTGATCCTCTCTGCAGAAGCTGGGCAGCAGCAATGAGCCACAGCCTCTAGTCAGCCATGTGATCAGGAGGGTACACCAGTGTGTACCCACACAGCCATTCTGTTTTCCAATTAGTTACATGAGCTATTCAAACACTTCCTATAAAATAGGCTTTGTGGTAGATGATTTTGCCTAACTCTAGGCTAATGTAAGTGTTCTGAGCACATGTAAGATAGGCTTAGCTAAGCTACAATGTTTGGTAACTTAGGTGTATTAAATGCATTTTCAGCTTACACCATTTTCAAGTTATCATAGGTTCATCAGTTTGTAATCCCATCATAAATCAAGAATGACCTGTATTAGTTGCACAGTCTCAGAGCACCTGAGACTGGTAAATGTGTCAGTGGGCTTCCACCAGCAGTGGGGGACACAGGATCAGGGTAAGTCCAGAATGAGAGGGGGGTTCCACTGTGAGAACTCTTCCAGGATTCATGAGAGAGGCCCTAGGAAAGGAACCAATCAGCACCAGAGCTGAAGAACCTCATCTGTTTCTGGACAGACATCTTTCATGAAGTTTCTCATTCCAATTCCTGGCACTGGGTTTTCAGCACACTGAACTAGATGAAATTTGAGATAAAGATTTTTCTCTCAGTTATTGAAGCTCTGGATATTGAATGTCTTAAGGGTTTGAAGAACCAAAAAAAAATGACTCAAGAGTAGACATCATTGTGATATTTATTTAAAATTTATTGTTCTTATATTTGGTATTTCTAGTAGGAGAAAATAAGTGAAGATCAAATTTCAGGGGAGAAAAAATTATCATCACAGAGATACTCACTTCTATTATATAGACACTCTGAGGAGCCTTAAGTTGTGGTGGGAATAGCAAAGTTTTTAGAAAGAGATGGTTTTGAGCTGCTGCTTTATGAGAGAGCAAATTACTGAAGTCATTTTGCATTGGGCTTCTCTTTGTAAAATGTAGATCATGGTTCATACATTTACATCCATATCTCTTTATATACAAACTCAAGAGTAATAGAACTTGTTTAATATTGCAAAATGGTCCTTAGTTAACATGTATAATTATTGGAAATATCAGATTAATATTGGAGCAAGAACACAAGCAAAAAAATTGACATCAGCCCTGCTGGAAGTAATTCTTCATGATGCAAGAAGCTATTGCATTCATGCTCATTGAATAAAAGTATGAAAAGTTACTTAAGTTGACTTTTCTCTTATAAGCTCTTTAGCTGCTTAAATCCTCCCTGATCCCTGAAACAGGTTCTTGTAATGTAAGCAAAGGCCCAATCCATAAACTATCAAACATTCAGACACAGTTACCTGTACTTTTGAGGACAGAGAACAAAAGATGAAGATAATAATTTCCTGGGGCCTGAACAGTGTTAATGAGGAGGCAAATGTATGTAGTAGTCACAGATTGTACACTGCCAGCCTTAAGCATCAAACCCCAAATGGCAGAAGTATCAATGTGTTTTTTTAAAAATAAATCTACTATTCATCAGGCTTTGCTTGCCCATGACTAGGGGCAGTATTAACTGGTTATAGAGCAATTAGAACAGTGCCTGGCAAACATTAATAAACAAGATAATAAGCACCTCCTCCACCCCTGCCTTCTTCTCTCCCTCAACTCTCTTTCTTATATGTTAGGTTCTGTTTGTAAAATACAGCACAAGATCTAAAAGTAGACTATAAGGAGTCTATCAGGTAAAAAGAAATAGGAAAGAGGCTACAAAAGAAGTTTTCATTAGTAACATAAGGCATTGTTCCTCCAGTATTTTGTATAGACAGTCCATTATATACAATGGTTCTACTTATGATTTTCCTACTTTACAGTGGTGTGGCAGTGATATGCATTCAGTAGAAACCATACTTCAAATTTTGAATTTGGGTCTTTTCCTGGGTTAGCAATATGCAGTATGATACATCTTGTGATGGTGGGCAGTGGCAGCACACAACTCCCCATCAGCCATGCGATCATGAAGGTAAACAACTGATAGACTTACAACCATCTTTACCCATACAACCGTTCTGTTCACTTTCAGTACAGTATTCCATAAATCACATGAGATATTCAATACTTTCTTATAAAATAGGATTTGTTCTAGATGATATTTGCCCAATAGTAGGCTAATGTAAAGTGTTCAGAGCTCATGTAAGATAGGCTTGGCTAAGCTATGATGTTCAGTAGCTTAGGTGTATTAAATGCACTTTCAACTTATCATAAGTTCATCAGTTTGTAACACCATCATAAATCAAGGAAGATCTGTATTAGGTGCATAGACCCAGAGCACCTGAGACTGGGAAATGTGTCAGTGGGCTTCCACCAGCAGCGGGGGACACAGGATCTGATTAACTCCAAAATGAGGAGGAGCTTCCATGTAGGATGGAGCATAAAAGAGGAACATCAAACTTAGACCTGGAATTGGGTCAGGGATAAGGAAAAACAGTCAGACAGGGAACTTGAAGGCACCTGTTTCCTCAGGTCCCTCAGCATAAGCACAGGCCTCTGGCCTACCCCCTCCCTCCTGTCTTAAGAGGGAAATTTCCCCAGTTCTGTTCTGGTCTGTGCAGTGGAGGCTGCCTCAGGCCTGGGGATGCCCAGTCTCACAGGCCTCTCTTCACATAGACTTTTCAACTAGCAACAAAAGAGTCATCTTAGGATCCTTTTCTGATGGGCTAAAACCTCATCTGAAAGGCTGTGGTTAGGGCTTCTGCCAGCTGCTTCCCCCTGAGCCGTCAGCATGCTTACATTTCCTAGAGTCTCTACATAGCACATATTCCGACTGTATTACTCAGGGCAGTGACTGCTGGCCTGGCCTGAGAAGAAGGCAACTCATAGACACTTCCTGACTGCTGGAGCTTCCCTGAATCACCCACTGGGCCTCTGTGGAGGCAGGGCATTTAGGCAACATATACCCCATATGAGTAGATGATGGGATCAAGAAACAGTCATCGATGTGGGTCAGGTGACAGCAGGGAGACCCTCCCCAGGGGAAATCCTTGGTTCCCTCAGGTGGGAGATAAATGTTCTGGACTCTTTCCTCATGGAAATTTGAAGAGAAATCATCTTCCCTTGAGATCTGTGCTTGGTCAGTGGGGTTAGTTGTGAACATAATAATCATCACATGAAAGGTGGAGAAAAAGATGGCATAGTAGGAAGGCAAGGCAGAAACGTTTTCCCAAAAACACATAAAAGAAGAAAATACAGCTCAATCTGAAAATGACCCAGAGACTGCAGAACAGACCACCTTCATCTGGGGAAGAAGGGAAGACCACACGGAAGAGAGTAAAGTGGCAGTGCCACAATCAAGTGGGGCCCAAGCCCTCACCCACCCAAGCCCACAGATGGGAGAAAGAGGAACAGAGTGGGATGGGGTAGGTGCCCAGGAACTCTGGATGCCTGGCCTTTGGAGATCTGCTCT